CATCAGTCGAATGTCTTGCGCAGTTTAGACAGGGGTTCTGATTCGGAGTCGCCCCCCTCCTCCGACGAACTGCCATCTTTCTCGTGGCCTTCGCTTGCATCCTCCTTGCCACTGCTATCAGTCCCGTCGCTGCCGCCACTCCCGTCAGTCCCGTCACTGCCGCCACTCCCATCATGACTATCTTTCTCATCGCCTTCGCTTTCATCCTCCGTGCCACTGCCATCAGTCCCATCGCTGCCGCCACTCCTGTCATGACCATCGCCACTGCCATCACTTCCGTCACTGCCACCATCGGTTTCATCACCACAACTTTCATCGCTGCTTGTTGCTTTTCACGCTGCTCTGCGGTCGTCCCCGCTTTCTTCTGACACGTGCCGTTGCAGGACCTCCTGCCAAATTGCCACCTTCCACGTCCCCAACCTCCTCATCACTTGTGGCCCCTTGAGTTCCAGCCTCCTCTTGCACGGGCTCTTTCTGTGGTCGTCCCCGCTCTCTTGTGCCACGTGCGGGTGCTGGACCTCCCGCCAAATTGCCACCTTCCACGCCCTCAACCTCCTCATCACCTGTTCCCCCTTGAGTTGCAGCCTCCTTCCAAGGTCTCCCTCTCCCTCGTTTGGTCGGGATCGAGGACGGGGCACATGCAATTGCCCTTGCAGCTTTGTATTTGTGGGCATGCTCAACGATCATGGTCCTCGTGGCCTGATCCACCTCATGCAAATGTTGCTGGGCCAGAAACTTGGAAGCCTTTGTGGCCTTCCTCCATGACTCGTTGAGCTCCCTCTCGAGCTCAAGCAGACTGCTGCGCAGCCGATCACGCTAAATTGTTACCTCCTCTGGAGCAGGCGTTTTTGGTGCTTGAAAGGGAATGTTGTCGTTGTCATCGGAGCCTGAGTCATCGTTCTCACCTGCATCACCAACCGGCTCTCTTCTGTGCAGCTGGCACGCCACTCCGCCAACCGCAGCTGTGCATCCGCTGCCATCTCATCCCGTGTGACATCTTCCACCGGTTCGTCCACTTCCCATTTCGTAGAATCCTTATCAGCCTTCGGCTTCTTAATCAAGGCATCCAACAAACGCTGGTTCCATCTGTTGAAAACCAGCGTGCTAAGCTTGATGGCACCGAGGTTGTTACGGAGACGGCTATGAATTCATTCAAGCAAGCTTCAGTTCCTCTAGCAATGAGAGGAGGATGCTTGTCCAAGCAGACAAATGGCTTGCTTGTCCACCACCTTGCTGGTTGCATCAGACATGCCAGTGTGCTTGCATATTCACAATTGTGCCTCCTGGTGCCCTTGATCCAAGAACAAACCTTTGAGTCATCCTCAACATACAAAGACTCCTTGCACCATGAGTAAACCAAGTCCAAAACCCATTCACAACCTCTGCATCCGTCTCCGGTCTCGACGCTCTGTACTTTAGATCCAAGAATAGCGTAGCACAATGGAGCGGTGGTGTCATTGTATTCCAACGGCGCATCACAATCTCCTCGAGTTCCTTCTTCTTCGCTTCGGCAAAGTGCGTGCTCTCCCTTATCCCAGCGCGGCATGATGATCTCATCGAGTTCCTTCTTCTCCGCTTCGGCAAAGTGTGTGTTCTCCCTTAGTTTCTCCACTGCGTTGTCCATACGGGCGTACACCTTACTAATGGTGGGGCCCGTGTCATCGACCTTCTTCAAAAGTTCGAGCAGGTGCTTGGACGTCTGCATCACCTTCTCGACATCTGCCCAGAAGGTGTCGTCCAAGATGGCATGTGTCGCCTTCATGAACAGTTCGTGCTGCAAAGTGTGCACGGTTGCTGGCTTCCAACATCATCTGTCACACACGCACAAAGCAATAAATACGACCCCTGCAGGCTCGACAACATGATGAAGTTGGTGGCAAATCGCGTCGCACCCGATTTTGACACAACACCGCCATTGGAGTAGTGGACCAGGAGGTCCCGCGCCCGTGAATGGTTCGTGAAGACCTTCACAACCTCCGATGCCCTTTTTATAAGTGCACCGATCCACCCGATCTTCGTGAAAGACTCGAACATCAAGTCGAGGGAGTGTGTTGTGCACGAACAGAGAAGATGTGCGGGTAATCTGCTTCAATCATTCGCCCTACAACTACGCAAACAGAAGCATTGTCCATAACGACACCCACCACTGCCTCTGCACCTATCTCCTCTACTGCCCTCTTCAAAATGGCGTAGTATGCTGAGGCGCCCTTAATGCACCGTGACATACACACACTTCTCCAAAAGATGGAGCCCTTAGGGAAGTAGATAATCACATTGATGGGTGGTCTCTGTCGGCGATCTGTCCAACCATCAAGCTGCAACATGTAGCCAGTGGTTGGCCACTCTTGTCGCAACTCCTCCACCCTCTTCCTTACCCTACCCCTTGTTACTTTGACCCTCTTCGTCCTTGCATTTTCGAACTTTGCGTACCTAAAGCCTTTCAACGCATTCATTAACGCATGCACCATTTTGTCCCAGTATTCGCTCTTCATCATGTTGAACGCAATGCATTATGCCGATCATCCAGTCGTCTACCGTGCGCTGCGTTTGCTCGTGTGTCGTAATGATAGCGGCGCTGTCCGTGATAGTAGTCTGGCGGAGCCCCATTGCAAACCCTGATGGATCCAGAACTCCTCCTGCCAACGTCCGTGGAGCATTGTCATCCTCCAATGACTCCTCTGTTTCAGCCTCTGCCATTAAGGGCCCCCAATTCAGACCTAGCACCCGACCTCCCCGTCTCCATCCTCAAGTACTCCTCTTTTGGTACAATACCTCTAAGGCGCTCGACGTCGCATCTCGACCCCTTGAGGAAATGTTCCCTTGCCCTTCTGGCTGTCCCAACCACAAACTTGTCGCAGAAATTGCATACGCGCTTTTTGTTCCACTTGTCGGTTTTGCCACACATTCCCACATTCATCAAGTGCTTCTTCACGAACTGGCTGCGGTTTTTAGTCATCCTACAAGTAGACAAAGAGAGCGAAAGAAACACAATTGTTAAAGCCGGTTTACTCCCTAACCCCCAATGCTCACCCTCCTCCACTCTCTAACCTCAGCCTCTCATCTGCTCACAGAAATCAACCATTCAATAAACAAAACAAACAATGAATCCTACCATCAATCAATCAATCAATCAATCAATCAATCAATCAACCAACAAGTCAATCAATCAATCAATCAATCAATCAGATCAATCAATCAATCAATCAATCAATCAATCAATCAATCAATCAATCGATCAATCAATCAATCAATCGATCGATCAATCAATCAATCGATCAATCAATCAATCGATCAATCAATCAATCAATCAATCGATCAATCAATCAATCAATCAATCATAAATCGATCGATCAATCAATCAATCAAGAGAAGTCTTCGTTGATAGATGGATCGACTCGAGTGATTGATCAGTCGATAGGTTGATTTATTGATTGATTGATTGGTTGGTTGATTGACTATTTGATTGATTGTTTGATTGATTGTTTGATTGATTGTTTGATTGATTATTTGGTGGTATGATTGACTGATTGTTTGATTGTTTGATTGATTGATTGATTGATTGGTTGATTTTTTGATTGATAGATTGATTAATCGATTGATTGATGGTTGACTACGAGGTTGATTGATTGACCTGTCCAACGAATTTAATTGACCGGTGTCCATGATCAGGTGCACTGCAAACAGTCGTCGAATGGAAAATTTGACAGCATGACTGCATCCCCCCCCACGGGGTCGACATTTTTGACAGCATGACAACACCCTCCATGGGGTTGAAATTTTTGACAGCACGACGGCACCCTATGGGGTTGAAATTTTGCACAGCGTGACAGTACCCCACACGGGGTCGAAATCTTAACAGCAGGATGGCACCCCCCCACGGGGTCTAAAATTGTGACGGCATGACGGCAACCCCCATGGGGTCGAATTTTTGACAACATGACAGTACCCCCCACGATGTCGAAACCTTAACAGCATGACAACATCCCCCCACGGGGTCTAAAATTGTGACAACATGACGGCAACCCTTATGGGGTCGAAATTTTTGACAGCATGATAGCACCTCCCATGAGGTCGAACAGTTAAGAAAAGCTTACATTCGATCCACCAAAGAACCCAACATTTGAGCATAGCCCGATACTCCAATAGTTGGGAAATTTTGACAGCACGACGGCACCCCCGATGGGGTAGCGGTTGTGAAAACAAAGTGTCTATCCGACAATGAACACAAGAATCAATCAATCAATCAATCAGTCAATCAATCAATCAGTCAATCAATCAATCAATCAATCAATCAAATCAATCAATTAACGAAATCAATCAATCGATCAATCAATCAAATCACTCCATCAAATCATTCAAGATTTTCCAGATTGATTGATGGACTGATTGCATGGATTGATTAATTGATTGATTTGATTGATTGATTGATGGATTGACTGATTGGATGCTTTCCGAGGACAAATACATTACAAGTGAGAAGCGACAAAAGCATGTCCACGATTCGGGCAAACGTCCAAAGCTGTGGATGAGAAATGAATAAAACGTTGGACAAAGTCTCCGTAACAAACATGGAGGGGGGAAAAAAAGAAAACAAAGGAACGAGTTTCAAGTTCCCTACAGGGGGGAGAGAGAGAGAGAGAGAGAGAGAGAGAGAGAGAGAGAGAGAGAGAGAGAGAGAGAGAGAGAGAATTGCTATTCCCCCTCTCTAGAGTCTCTACGCCAAGAAATATATATATATTGTCACATGATATATATATATATATAGAGAGAGAGAGAGAGAGAGTCGCTGTCCTCCCCCTATACGCCAAGAAAGTTGCAATAACGAGAGAGAGAGAGAGGGAGAGAGAGAGAGAGAGAGAGAACTGCTATCTCCTCCCCTTTCTCCCCCCCCCCCTACGCCAGGAAAGTTGCAATAACGAGAGCCCAAAATGGAACAAGACGAGAGAGAGAGAATCGCCCCCCCC